CCAAAAAGTTTGCATCTTAACTGGACAATGACAACCGAGCTCTTTTGTTACATTTAGGATTGGCTGCCTGTTTGGATGGTTGCTGGCCCTTTCGACCAGCAATGATCATTCCAGGGCTGGGGGACGAAGAAGAATGGCTAATGTTGGGACAGGTTTGCCTGCACCTGGGGGGCCAACATCCGGGCTTTAACCCGCGCATGCGCTGGGTACCCGGTCGGGTCCCGTTTCCCATGGGGCTCTCAGCCCACTCGCGACTGACTCATGCAGCTTGCCCCGGACTAGCGGGTTGTCGTGAGGGTGCAGGCTGAAGCAATATAAAGAATGGGAGGGTCGGATGTACATTTAGGAGGGCTGCATACAGGATCGGGCCAATAAAAGGTGCTGGTGGAAAATCGAACGCGATCTGAGGGCTTCTGAGAGAGATCAGCACCTGGAACCAGCAAGCCAGATCACGATGCAGACCCCATCAAGGTCAAGTCTTCCGCCGTCGTTCAGGAAAACTAGTCAGGAAGCTGGGAAGCTGCGGGACGCTCAGGGTGACGCCCTGAAAGCTAGGGGTCCCCAGCGCTCGGGAGGCTTCTGACAAGGCCACGGACCCCGAGAGAACCAAGATGTCATAAGGCAGCTGCGGACCGGGACTTTAACCACAGAAAAAGTGGAAAGGACTGGGGCTGGAAACATCGATGTAATCGCGCGGCGTTTTTTCATGCCAAGCCGTAGCTGCTATGTTACAGTTCATTAACGTTCGGGGACTTGTTTCCTCCAACCTCACTCACCCTCCCAGTGGCCGATCCTGCCGAAGTTGGGGGGGGGGGCGGGGGGCGGGAGGCATGGCCCCGACCTCTCCCCTTGACTGTCAGGGGAAGGCTCAGGAGCTGTCAAGGGTTCTCAGGTGAGTAAACAAGAAGAGGGCAGATGTCGTTCGGTTTTCGTCATAGTTGTTTTCAGTGTACGTATCTGATTACCGTAGATGTATATGTTTTGTTATCGAAATGATGAGCCCGAACCGTGCGTCAATCCAATCCAACCTGACCTTTTTAGGGCAACCCCAACTAAATCCTTTGAGCCAAGGATCTAAGCAAGTAGCATAGCTCATAAACGAAACCACCACTGATAACGGTGCAAGGTCCGGAGCCCGTAACTTCCAGTTGGATTTAACTATTTTTGCGTTTTGGCCACATGAAATGACACCAAACAGAAATGGACCCCATCACTTAAAGCGTAGTTACGTCCACGCCACAGGTGTTATCAGGCAGTGACGTTAAATCCTGGGGAGGCAGCTGTCTTGCCCCCTGTCAAACGGAGATTTCAACATCAGCTCCAGTAAATACGTCGAAAGTGACATCGGGTGGTAAGAAATCCCGTTTCTGCCTTAACGAATTTTGGGAACGCTCACTGTCCCGATTCCTGTAACTTTCGGGGTGTCCAAGTGGCACAAATGGACACTGAATGCGATAAAATGAGGGCCAGAAGGCCAGAAGACCGAAAATAGCAACTACTCTGCGTTCACCGCAGGTGTGGTTGCAACCACAGGCACCACTGAGATCGGTGGGGCTCGAACTTCACACACTTTGAAGCAGACTGACCTATTTTCGCGCTTCGTTCGCATCAAATGTCCACAAAACAGAACTAGACCCCAGCAATTCAGGCATGGTGCCGCTCATTACCGCAGGAGAGATGGAACGCGCAATGGACAGACAGAGGAAGGCAAAAGGAGTACGTGCATCCCTTAGGTTTCGAGGGACCCGAAGGCCTGTGGGGACCGACGATGCCCCATTGGAAGGACTGAAGGACCCAAAAGGCCGGCCGGAGGTCATATTCAGGGGCCGGCCCGTGGGGCCGGGCACAATAATGACAGCCAGGGGACCCTTTGCGCCAATTGGGGGCCTGGCTGCCCGAAAGGCTGGCTGTAGATCACATGAAGGATTCCTACCCGTAAGGCTGTGACCTGAAATACCAGTCGGAGAGCCTCTTGCACCGACCGATGAGCCCCTAAGACAATGTGGGTGTCTATGTCGGCCAGAGACCACCAACACCGAACAGTTGGCTCCGTGTCGGTCCGAAACCTGCGGGCCTATCTTCCAAGCAAGAGCAAGGCCGAAGCCCGCGATGTGTATTGGTCTGGGTCTCTGAAACAATGACCGGGGCCCCTATGTCGGTCACGGGCCCACAGCGCCCAACAGGAGGTTTTGTGCCGGCAAGTCACCCCGAGTCTGTCACAAGCTTTGATTGAGGAGGGCTGAAGAGGGACCGACGGAACCTTCGGAACCAAGGATCAAGGAATGATTGGAATTGGAATGCCGAAGGGGCCGAATGGCCTGAAGGACTGTTCATAGGACACCATGAGGATATCCTCCCCGTCGGTAGGGTCGTGACCTCAAATGTCAGTCAGAGACTTTCTTGCATCGATTGGGGACGCCCTGGGTCAATGCGGAAATCTGTTTCCGACTCTAGTACCACCAACACCTGAAGCAGTCGGCTTCGTGTCAGTCTGAGCCCTGGGGTCCATTTCTCAAGTAAGTTTGGAGGCCCCGTGATTTGTATTGGTGGGGATCCCTGAAAAAATGGAGGTGTCGGGCAGGAAGCCCCCAGTGCCTTACAAGGGATTGATTCTGTGCCGGCAGGGGTATCCGAGTCACCAGGAGCCGTGTTTGGTGGGTGGGGGGGGGGGGGGGCAAAAGAAGGCTCTCGAAAGGGCCCCTCCTCGGTGGTCAAATTGACCCCCCGAAGGGTCTCACGAGACCAAAGATCAAGGGCCTGATGGGAAAGCTGAAGGGCCCAAAGGGCTGTATGTAGGTCACATTAAGGTCCCCCACCCGTAGAGACATGATTTCAAATGGCAGTTAAAGGGCTTATCGCACCGATTAGGGACCCATAAGACAGCGAGTTCCCTTTTTCGGCCAGAGATCACAACACTGAACAGTCTGCTCCGTATCCGTCTGAGCTTTGGAGACATTTTCCAGACAGGAACAAGACCAGGGCCGCGATTTGCATTGGTCGGAGCCCCCTGTAACAATACTGTGCTCCAGTGCAGGCCAGGTCCATAGTGCCCTAACAGAGTCCTGTGTCGACAAGAGGTCTCGGACCGGCCAGGGTAACATTTGCTGCACATAGGCAGGGACGGAACCTCGAATGCTAGAGGGTCTCTTGCGTTGGTCGGGCCTTCTGACAATGAACTGAAACCTAGAACTTATGATGAGAGTTCGCATTGAGAGAATAGCATATTGAGGCAATGGCAGGGCCTCGTGTCAGTCAGGGCCTCAGCACCGACCGGTGGGCCCTCCAACTCAATGCCAGCCACGGGCCCGTTAAGCCGAACTGGAGTTAATGTGCCAATTATTGAATCACCTGAGGTGATCAAGTATCTCGTTGCTCAGGGAGGGTTCCTGCTTCGATCCGGGGCCAACTGCGCGGGTCAGAAGGTCTCACGTGTAAGGGAGGGTACCAATGTGATATCACGCATCCCTCTAAGGGACACCGGGTCGACGTGGGGATCCTGCCCCCCTGTGCCGGAATGGCGGCCGGAAGACACCGCGCGGTGGGACGGAATGACCCCACATCTTACGACGGGGGCGATAATGCGCCCCCTAATGTTTTACTCGAGGAGACCCCTTTACCGAGAAGGAAAAGGCGTCTCATTAGTGTTGAATAGACTGGGTCTAAATGAGGTAAAAGAAAAACGAGCAGGGCCACTGTCCTCCTGCCACCCCTGTTTGGTTAAGGAAGGCCATTTTTTTGCGGAATCGGCTGGAGAAACAACTTACACCAACCAATTTTGAAGCTGTGTGCTCGCAATATCAGGAGCAAGGACAGCGATGGCGTCGGTTAGTTTTCATGAAACCGAACGGCGTTGACCACTGCAAGCAACACCATGCTGCGGGTGCCGTACTCGCGTATCGACCGTCGTGAAATCATTCTGCCGAGTCATTCAAAATAAGTCTGCACCGTTCAAAGATTAGGCTGGTGCGAATCTTTTTGATAACTTTGAACTTATCCGTTGGGGGGATTAGTGTCTGCAACACATAACATCGAGACGTTTCCATTACTCTTCCAGTTTCTCCACAGGATTTTCGCTTCTCCGTTGGCCGCGGGACCGACGCCGAGCAGTCCACGTAGGCTGCAACGCAGGGCATCGAGGTCTTGGCTCGGATTTGCGAGCGTGTATGCTTAAAACTACGCTACATTATTTTTCCGGCTAATCGATTCCGACAGAATGTTGAAAATTCTAGGCAAACATGACTTGGCCAGTCTAATACAGAATTTAGACCCACTGTGATCTATAATTCATCGGAATTCTATTGGTTTACGTGAAGCTCAATAAACCATTGTAAAACGAAGAGCGCCGACGGTTTATTCACGCAATCGCTTAACGCCTGTCCTTCGGTTTATTGGCGTCAAAGTTCAAACAGAATTGATTTTGCAGTGACTCCTGGTTCCTCTTCCAATGTTAGGTGGTAAGCATAGAAATAAAACAAAAAAGTTCCCTTATTAACAAGTGGGCCATATCCAACAATGCTTTTCGGGGGGGGGGGGGGGAGATGCCTTCTCAACCCCATGGGGCCTTCTTTTGATCCTGTGCCCGCCATCCCCCGGCCTTGCCAAGACTCTGGCTGCGCTCCTGGGTAAGGAGCAGACGGTCTTGCCCTCTATCATTTCGATATTCAACGTCCTGCTTATCGTGATGGATGGCCAACATGGATTTAAACTCACTGCCGTCCCCGCAGTCACCACCGCTCCTGGACGACACGACCACAACTTCTTGGAATTCTGCAGTGTTTACCCCTCTCATCGCTCTTTCATAAAACTAAAAGAAGCTTTTGCTAACTTGATGTATTCTTGTATGAATAAAGCACACATCAACTTTAGTTTTATCAGTCGAACCAGCCAAAAATAATCTTAGGCATATCCTTTCTCGTCTGTCATTCTCGATTGCCGTAATGGTTGTTGAATACAACGTATTTAGTAGCGGAGATCTATCTCCGAAAAACAATGGTGAGGAAAGATGGCGGCCAGCGACGATAACCCTATGCAGCTGTACGAAGTTTTTCAGAACTGCTTCAATAATATAGCAAACAAGCAAAAAGGTGAGTTGAAAATGTGAATCTGTATCTGTTCCCCTTAGCTATGGAATAGCATTTTCAAGTTATGTGGAACGAGACGTGAACCGAACCTGAAAACTAAGTGCGTCGTAAACGTCTGGGGATTGTTAACGCTATGGAAGGCCATATAACTAGCGGTCTGCTTGTTTTTATTTCAAGTTATGTTGTAGTTGAAATATGCAGAATTCTAGATATTAGCTGGCAAGTTTTTTCGTCACTGAATTTTGCGACATGGTAATTGCCATTAATTAGTTTTGTTCCAGAATCTGGAGATGAAACATTGGATGCTTGGTGTCAGTGTAGGCTATAGCTTGCACATTATTTCATAGTGGCTTAAGATACTGCATGCATGTCATACACTGTCATCATATATTTTTCTGTGTTGGGCATCTCTAGGAGTGGATTGTGGAACTGTGGGGGTCTGGCATCAGGGTTTTGCGGCATGCAGCATGCATTGTAAATGTTGTCTGCTGATTGGTTCTGAATCATGGTGAATAAGGGAAAATTTGGTAGGAATGTGAAATTTGGACTGTGACGAAACTGATCAAAGCATTTTGTGTTTGAATAGGATATATGTGCCTTGAATTTATGCAGATAGTTCCAGTGTTTTTGCAATCTGCACTGTTCTGCACAGCATATGATACCTTATCTTCCCAGATCTCCAGTTGCTATATTTTGCCATTATGCTGTGTACTATTGAAAAAATAATGATCTTTGTGCTGTCCAGTTCTGCACAAATTGATTTACCAGGCACAGTGATACTGATGCTGTGGGAGTTGCTGTTGATGGTGCATGTGATGATCACAAGTTAGTTTGCATAGACTGCATCTGCTTAGAACAAATTTCAATAACAAATGGCACCATTAACTTATGGGGCTAGCCTCATATTTGGGTTGCATGCTTTCCAGGCTTTGGTCCTTATAGGAGCTTCTTGCTTGCCCAGCTGACTTGTTTGATCAATCAGCTTGATAATCACTCATCAGTGCACTTTTTTGCCACTCTAACATACTGGGAATGCAGTCTATGCTGTTAGATTGTCATCATCTCATTGTCTCAAGTCTCAGTTGTCTGAGTATCAATTGAAATTGTATCAATTGTTTCTTATTATTGTTAGCATTAGGCAGTCAAAGAAAGCAATCTTATGTGGCCATTTTTTATAACCATTTAGCTCTCAAATAGTGCTCAAAGCCAGGCTGCAAGGCCAGATTTTATTGTTAAAAATGTTTAATATCCATTTAACAGCCAAAAGTAAATGTGTACTATAGCATCAAATCCTTTTTTTTGCTCAAACTTCCTTTGTTACAAATTTGCAACAGCAACCTTGTTCCCTTCTGGCTCATGTTTGACATGCCAAACTGGTTAGTGTGGGTACCATATGAGGATTGTAGTAAGTGTACCCAATAACCCAAATAGTCATTACTGGAATATGCCTAGTTAGTGTCCAAAATCATGAGAAGCACCCTGGTTTGATGTAATGAGCTTTTTGTATCAAATGTTTGACTGGGCAGACATGCATTTGGCTTGGCACTCTGGAGTATGATTTTATCCTCACAGACCTGTGCCTGGTTCAACTCTAGCAGAGCTTACTCTAAATCTCTTCCATAGGAAATAAGATTTCCAGAAGACTGTTCTTGCTGTACACATGTTTTAATTGCTATGTATATAACCTGTGTTAATAGTAGTCTGGTTTGTTGGTCACATTGCTGTTTTTGTTTTCCAATCATTGATTTTGGCTGGAACCATTAACTGAACTGACTGATGCCCATTGTTTCTCAAATGACTCCATCCTGTTGTGGCTGAGGAAGACTTAGTTAAGCCCTAAGGTATTGCCAAAATTACCAGTCAGGCATGGTATATCTTCAGTTCAGAAGTCATAATGACATGTTAAATCCCTGGCAAAACTAATTGTGTGAAATTGACCAAGTTAAGCTTATATAATGCTACCTACCTTCTGCTGGTCAAATAGTTCTCATCTTTTGTGAAAACAATTGTGCACACTAAAAGTGTGGATCTTATTAGGGTTGGTAGTAGCGGGCCCAAAACAGTATGAGTAGGAGTATGATATACAAGCAGATAGGCACCATATCAGCATTGCAGTCAATGCACGCCAAAGCCCTGATCATGATATGTGAGAGGAGATCAGCCCTGACAGTGTGTAGACTAGAGAACTCATGGCACAATGTGTAAATTATTTAGAACTCCAGCAGATTTTTGCATGCCATACTTGCCTAAATGTCTCATGTGACAACATGACTAGCATTCTGTTATTGTGTTCATCAATACATTCAAGTACCAACCTGGTGTGGTAGCCAAGTAGCCATGCTGCATATTTTTATTAGTGATGTAGTCATCTACCTACAATGGTTATTTGTTATTCTTCACTGGTTAAGTTGTGCCTTGGGGCTCCTGATATTTTCATGGAATAGTCATAAACTATTAGGAGCATGCTGCTAAATTTTTTAGATAATTTGTTTTCAGTATTTTAGCATTTTGAGAAACTTGTGCATTTCACATTCCATAGGCACAAGCATTACCTCTTTCAGGGTTATACAAGTTGCAAAAGATTGCCAAATTTGTTTCACTTCTTTGCAGTTTGCAGCACAAAAGTTGGAGTAAATTTCAATCCAAACAAAGCAGCGGAAGCCTAAATAAAGCTGAAAGGTCATAGGCATAAAAACACTACCTTTCTTTAAGTATAGCTTCTACCATACATGTAGATATATCAATATGAAGACCAGAATCCAATGTATATATATATATGTATATATATATATATATATATATATATAATATGAAAGCCTGAAGCCAATTACCATGTGTAGATGTCTCATGGCAAGACATTGGTCAAATTTAGCACCCCTGAAGGCTGACAGTCTCCATATGTGCTGAGCTGAAGCAAGTCACCATGTTTTGTATAACATGTTTGGAGCAACATATTCTTCCCAGAGCAGGTTTGAGGCCCTCATACATTTTTTGACAAGCATATGTTGCAAAGCCTTCTGCTTTAAAGGTTGTGCTGTGTCTGCACAACACCAGAAGAAGTCTGGTTAATTTTAATAATCGTGAGCAAGCGATTCATCCCGATGGTGAATCCTAATGACGTCATCCTAATAGTGAGCACATGATTATAAGACATGTGCCTGTTTCAAATGGGGAACCACAATAACTGTCTTGAAGGAAGTTGAGAAAGCTGGCTTTGATATGCCTCTATTGGATTGAACATGTTTTCTAGATTGGGCATATCTTATATGTAAGATAAATTAAAACTCAGAAATTGATATTAATAAGTAAAAAGTCCAATGTACTGCGTCAACATGTGCACAGAAGGCCATGCAGACTGGTGGTAATATTCGGTGGGCGCTTTTCGGTTCTGGTGACATGACCCACCCCTTCGATGCTTGCAAGCCTTTGGCCGCGCCCTGGGCTGTCAGGCCCAGCGGTACCCGGGTGACAGCATCAGTCAGCAGCAGCCGGGCGGGGATGAACGGCACGGACCGCACGGGCCGGCGGAGGTGACAGGGGTGATCTCACACGTTCTGAGGTAGTGCGGGCAGCTGAATCAAACATCCCGGGCGCGGAAAGCTGTCAGGGATCTGTTGATACTTTTCATGGCGTGGTCTTTCGCAGCCTTCGGAACACATCCGTGATATTTCTAGGGTAAGTGGTAGAGGTCAATTTGATATCAGCCAGCGTGTTGCCACCAGAATCGGGACCATGGGTATGGGAAATCAAGCCAGGTTTGCGGGAGTGGGAGCCGAAGTCGACCCAAAATTGCGCGTTGCAGTTGGGTCAGTTACGGGCGCCGATTCTGCTTGGGGGGCATTAAGCGCGAATCTGGCCCTTAGCCGATGGACGTCCTCGGTGCGGAGCGGGTAGACGCTTCAACAATTGTGATGTAAGCCAAGAAAGTCGCCGTAAGGAAGCGGGGTAGACAGGAACACTTTGTGAACCTTGTTGAACCCACTTCGTGCCATTTAACGCCATTGAATGGAGGGCCGTGGTCCTCTCCAGCGCCTTTGGGCTTCCGTGCCCTGGGGAAAGAACGTGAAAAGTCTCTGTCCCAGAGATCCACGGAAAACCCTGGCAATCATGTGCGGCACCTCATGCGCGGGTGGTCGCGGGTATGGTGAAACATTCCGTGCGTCCAGATTCGAGCTCAGAGCCCCACGGCTACAAAACCAGGGGGTTGCTAGCTGCTGAGAACGAGGAGGCCTCCCGAAGCTGTGGTTTCCTAAAGGCCTTCCCTCCCCCTTACCTCCGGAGAGCTGCGTCCGGTGCTCATCTGTGAATTGTTTCGAAATGAAGCGTACAGGTTTTTTACCGTTGGAGCTTACTTCAGATCAAAGTTCAAAACAGCTAAGCTCAAAATCGCTAGGGCAGGTGAAATGACCCGCCATGCTATGTGGCGAGGGATCGGTGCACCGCCTGTTTTCCTATGTTTGAGGTGCCAGGCTGCAACAGGTGCCAGTAGCTTGTATTGCCTTTTGACATCGTGGTTTCACTAGTATGCCTACGCGCATCGACACGCATGCCTGCATGGACATTTGCTGCTTTGCAATTGTGATAAAAATCTCTGTCTTTTTTGTGGGTAAATGTATTTGTGGTGATGTGGTCGCAGAGCAGACTATGTTTGGGATTTGAACGGCATGGTCGCCGAACGAGTTATGATGCTTTTTTTGCAGTGACCCGTGGTACTGACTGCAGTTAACAGCTGTATGCATAATCTGTCAATGTACCGTGCGGATTGTGTACGTTTCATTTGCTCGGAGCATGTGTCTATTGACTCAAGGAAGTGCTTATTTGTTGGTAGAGGGGACTTTTGGCTGGCAGTTAAATAAGCAGACCAATTGGAGGTGGCCAATTCCACTCACTGGGCCAGCGCACCCTCTTGCGGTATCAGTAAATGGGTAGTGGGCCTTGCCATTGAGCCTTGACCGCCCTGTTCAAGCAACGAGGTATGTCCGGAGCTGTGAACAGCCATGGAACCTTCATTGTCCATTTTCTGCGGTTGGCTGAAATACCCGGGCTGATTGTCATTGACGGAAACGTCAAATTACCCTTTGCTCAGAGCAGAAGAACGGCAAAATATCCTGATAGCCGCATGTTCCTCCCTCGCATGCCACTTGACCGGTACCTGAACTTCCGACCGCTAGTTCATAAGCATCTTAAAAAACAGCATTTCCCTGCGCACGGGAGTTGCGCGCAAGTGCCGCCGGTTCGACTACGCCCGTGCCTGCTGCGTCAGAGTTCGGACGACGCAGCGGTGCTGCGACGCGGCGGCCGCCGGCGCGCGACCGCGTCGCGTGCTGCCGATAGGCGGCATTCTCCCACGGCCGTGCGCTGAGGCCCCCTCTCACACACCGTCCGGCTTTGTTGCAGATAAGCACGGCCAGCCGGTAGCTGCATATGGCGACGCCCAGGTAAGAGACGCCACCGCGGCGCTATCTGCCTGTGTCCACACGGCTGTGGAAGATTTCGGCGAGGCTCTCGCGCTGGTATCGGGTCGCCGGCTGCTGACGCGGATGGGCTTGCCTCCGGGTACACAACCGTTCCTATAAACGTATCTGATGCGGATATGTGGACACTCATGACGCCTTTGCGTGCAAGGATGTACCTGCCTCCCCGAAACGGACCCCAACATCCGGCTTCCTGGGGTCTGGGACTTGGTTCCTGTCATCGCAGGGACGTGAGGGTTCGGAAACCTTCCATTGGATCCGCGAACTGGTATGCTTGCATGTAGGCAACCGTGATTTCCCAACATTTGTGGTCCCGAGGAAGTGCATGGGAGACGAGCTGAAAGTTGCCAGCGCATTGATTCGGCGTAGAACTCACAGTACAGGGAGCTTGTCACATAGCCGTCAAAGTGGTGGCCGGCTGATTTTCCCAGCGATTAAGGTCACTTTTAGACTGCGCTAACCACTGCGCGTCTAGGAAACCAAAGGTACGGGGTTCAATTCCCCGTGGGGCCCGCTCTTCCTGCCAGGATGAGAGACAGCCGACGCCATGGCCCTAGCAGCAAAGCTCCAATGATAATGGCAATGACAAGTTCACCTCTCGAAGGTTCTCTGGTTGTAAGGCATGTTCTGAAAGACGTGGTCGCAGTGACCAAACGGTCACTTTATGTTGGTTTATTTGGCGATGCTCTTACACGATTGTGTAGAGAAATCGGTCGGTTGGGCAGTGCCGCTGCAGGTGTGCAAATGAGGAAGTCGGAAAGATCATTATCGTTCCTACGTCTTCGTCAGCATGCATTTATACATGTTTGCATCGAGTTTCACACACGAGTCAGTGAATAGGATTCTACAGTCATGACGGTCATTGCGAGTGGTAAGCGAGCGTTGTCAGATCACACATCAGAACCCAGCGTCTGGCGAACGGATCTCTCATGGCGACATTTGTCCCGTAATGCCGGGCTAATATGGGCGGCCTCATGAACAATTCAACGGTTCGCGACTTTTCCGCGGGCTCATTATTCATGAGCATGCGTCTGCATGGCTGATCTTGGGCAGCTGATGTCGAAAAGTGCGGTGCAGAGGAGGGCGGGATCTTATTGATCGAACGCAAACGTGTTTTCCCCCTTTGCGGCCCGTTGGTAAGTAGGCCTGCGTGATGGTTTACGAATATGGTAATCAGGCATCTCACGATACGTGTGATGACTTATCGCACGAACTAGTTGAATTCTTTATCTTAGCCCAGGGAACAGGAGGGAGGGGCTAGAGGAACACTGGCGTCGCCTCTTTTGTGGAAATGTGTAATTCCCTTGTTGATGCATGCAGTGAATCGGGTTGTGATGGCTTGCTTTTCAGTTGGAGGGGGGAGGGGGTTCTCTAGCCGCCGACATTGAGGCTAAAGTGTGTCGGATTTGGTTTGTAGCCCATATTTGATGCATTTTGAGGGTCGGTTTAGCCTTTTGCTCTAGTCAGTCCTTACTGAATTTGCGAACCTATGAAAGAAATCGAAATAAAATTTGAAATCGAAAAGAAATCGATAAAAATAAATCGAAAAAACTTCTGCCCCCCTCCCACGCACACACAAACACACACTCCGACGTTTCGGCTCATTTTTTAGTTAAACTCTCGGCCATCGGCCCCTCATTTTGGCCCTCAGCTAACGTCAGTGGTGCCAACCTACACATCGATCCATTTAGCTTCATTTCATTTATCCGCTGACATATGGGTCGTGATGCAGCAAGTGACACGTGCCGATACGAAGCCGACAGGCGTCCAAGCTGCCATTTCATGATTAATCACCTCTGTCCTCCCGCACATAACATAAACAACATCACCCCGTCCCCCCTTGGCGGCATCTGAGTGTCGAGGCGGTGCACGGGCAGCGCGAGGAGCGGAGAAAGCGCGCTGGCAGCCGGGGGGCGCCGCGTCAGGTCGCGGCGTCTCGTGCTAAGCCGGCCGGTAATCGTCTGATGGGGGCGGGCGCCCCTGACGGGATGAGACAGGTGCGCAGCGGCCGGCCGGCCGCCGGTGATTCGGGCCCGGCGATGGTCATCTCGCGCCGGACGGCCCGGCTGTCAGGCGGCGCTTTTTCTGGCCGGGGTCTCAGCCGCCCACCCCCGGGTCCGGCGGTGATAAGGCCGGCCTGGCGCCTGGCGGAGGGGTGCAGGCGGCGAGCACGCGGCCACTCAGGCATGTTTCGAGGTGGGGCTTCAAAGCGCGTGGAGGGAATGGGCCGGAGGAGGGGGTTGATGCTGCATTGATGCTGCGTTGATGCACTGTGCGCATTCGTATTAAGCACTAAGGCTGCGAAGAGTCAAAGACAAACGCCGCATAATTTACCGTTAACTAACCTAAGATAAAAAACAGGACCTATGATATAGACGGCGCCAATTGCGTCGTTGACATGACCGACAAAATCCTTTTCTCCGGCACGCATTTAGGGGGGTAAGGTAATAAGTCTTGTCCCGAAGGTCTGATTCGTGGAATATGTTAGGCTAACTCAGGCTCGTACCCGGATGACACGTTACAAAGCTTGAAATCTGACTTCCTTCCTCATGCTGGGTCCTTGGCGGGCGCAGCAATCGAGCGGGTGCCCGGTGGGCGGCGGTGCCCCTCCGCCAGTCGGCTGGCCAGTCGGCCTATGGAGCTGTTTGTCGCGCTGAGCGGCCGCTGCATTATGGATAGCCGCGGTCAGCGCGGCACTTCTCGGCCGTCGCCATCGACCCCGGCCGGCCGGGTCACCCCGGTAACCAATCAACAGCCGCTAACTATTACGCCGCCGCGGCGCGCGGGCAGCTGACGGCGCGGGATCGCGGTCCGGCCCCAACGCATGATTGAGCCAGAGGGCCACAGCGCCGGGCGCGGTCCAGACCGGCCGCGGGCGACATGTCTGTAGCCAGAGGGCCACAGCGCCGGGCGCGGTCCGGCCCGACTACGGGCGTCCCGGCCCGACCACGGGCGTCCCGGCCGGACCAGAGGGCCGCAGCGCCGGTCCGTGGCTAGAGGGCAACAGCGCCGGGTGTGGTCCGGCTCGACCGCGGGCGTCCCGGCCGGGGTCCGGGGTGCCGCAGCACCGGTCCGTAGCCAGAAAGCCGTAGCGCCGGGTGCGGTCCGGCTCGACCGCGGGCGTCCCGGCCGGACCAGAGGGCCGCAGCGCCGGTCCGTGGCTAGAGGGCCACAGCGCCGGTCCGTGGCTAGAGGGCCGCAGCGCCGGGTGCGGTCCGGCCCAACCGCGGGCGTCCCGGCCGGACCAGAGGGCCGCAGCGCCGGTCCGTGGCCAGAGGGCCACAGCGTCGGGTGCGGTCCGGCTCGACCGCGGGTGTCCCGGCCGGGGCCCGGGGTGCCGCAGCGCCGGTCCGTAGCCAGAGGGCGGCAGCGCCGGGTGCGGTCCGGCTCGACCGCGGGCGGCCCTGCCGTGACCAGTGGGCTGCAGTGTCGGGCGCAGTCCGGCTCGACCGCGCTAGTCCGGGCCGTGACCAGAGGGCCGCAGCGCCGAGTGCGGTCTGGCCCGACCGTGGGCGTCCCGACCGTGACCAAAGGGCCCCAGCGCCGGGCGCAGCGGGCCGCGGCGCCGATTAATTAGGGACGGTGGCGGGCGGCGACGGCGCTGCCAATTAGGCGGCGGGCCGGCCGACCTGAGCCGTGTTTGCGACGGCGCCGACAAAACAGGCGGCCGCCGGAACAGGTGGTGCCGCGGGGCGGCGCGGGGGGCCGGCGGCGCGGCGCGCGAGGGGGCGGCGTGAACAGGACGGCCTGTGACGCGGCGTAATGGTGCCGGTCACGCACCGGACAGACTTATCTGCGGCTGCTGGTGTGGCGGTTATGCGCCTCGCGTGTGGCGAGATTGATGCTTCGACAGGCTCATGAATCCGTCCCGTAATTAGTGCTGAGGACGTTTGGCCCGGTAAGAGTTTGAGGGGGCGGAGCGCAGGCCGGGGCGGAGTGCTATATGTTTGGTTTCTTTCTTTGCATTAACAGTGAGCCAATGTACAATGTCGCAGAGTTGAGGAGTGGTCGCTCCTCGCCCACCTTAATTCGCCGCTCTCGCCCATGGCAGAAGGTTGACGGTCTGCAACAGCGCCCGTCCGATTTCGGAGCGTTCCGTCCTGTTGGATTTCCAGTATCAGTCGCGGAAGCTCGCGATGGCTCAGTTTTTTCCCAGTTGAGTCACAATGCGTCTTTTGTATAGAATGCGTTCATATGATAGCTTTTATCGCGCGGTGAATATTTAAGTTGCTTCGCGACCGTCATCTTGTCATAATGTCTCAAGTCACGCCATTGTGAGGCCTTATCTTTTGCCTAAATGCGTCGTTAGCATCTTATTAGCGTAACAGTTATTTATCGTCGGCGAGCCGCCAACAACTACCATGACGAAGAGACCCAAAGTCCGGCACAAAGCTGCTTCAGTCTCAGTCTTGGCCATAACGACTGCACATTGCAGTCGTTTTTTGTAGGGGCCAGTCTGGAAACGTGTTGGGTCACAGGTTTTGCACCAGCGCACTTTCTGTACAATGATTACCGTCACCACTGTGGGCCGCATTAGTTGTGACATGTAGGGATGCCCGTCTGACGGTTGTCAGGCGGATGGGTGGGGAAGTTGCTGGAAGCATTCAGGAGCCGCCTCCGGGGGCGTGGAAACTCCCTGGCAAGTCGCATGGCGGTGCGGACGCCCAAGACGGTTTTCGTGGAAGCCAGCCTGTTAAAAATCATGTAGTTTCGGGTCTAAATGCAGGAAGTTCCTGTGTTGATGTTCACATACTGTTCAGAGCTTTTGGGAAAATTCTGTCTGTAAGGCAAATATCAACAGGAACGCTGTTCATGCCTCATTTCTTGACGTTGGTATCCGACATTAAACTTCCAACCTGATGTATTTTGCAATGCAGCTGAACTATAATGCGTGGCAAACCCCGTAATGCTGAGTTGTGGGCGGCACGTGGCTCTGGCCGCACCACGTGGGTGAGAGCCAGCGC